TGTTGTCTTCAGTAAGAGCTAAATGTTTCTAAAACAAAGTGAAGGAAGTCAGACTATGGGAGCGATGAGCCGTGGTCAGCATGTAGGGATGCCACACACCCTGCTCATCCTACCAGCCAGTGCACAAGCCTCGAGTGACTCTGCAGCTCGCTGCCTGCAGATGCAAACCTTTGGGATCTTGGTTCAGCATGCTCTCACTGTGTCCTGGCTGCATGCTTCAGCTGCAGACATGCATTGATTGTGGTGGCCAAAGGCTTCTGTCTTTCCTAAAGGGGTTTTGGTAGAGAAGTCTGTGATGTTTTTCCCAGTCACCATAGGTTTTCCTGGCACAGTCGACCTGCTTTGTCACCTTCTTGTATAGTCACGTGCATTGGGTAAGCTTGGCATTAAGTGCATTTTCAGAGTGTTTTTTTCTACAGCTGTGCTTTTCTCTTCCAGTGGTAGGGTATCATAGCCCTTCACCCCTCTGCCATGAGCTCTGCCTTCTGCAGTCTGGTCCTTGCCTAATCAAGGGAGACAGCTTTCCTGTTGTTACTGTTGGAGCTGCAATAAATAGCATATCCATTTCTCCATTTATCTGCTTTTTGAAACCCAGCCTGTAATGCCAGCAATAATTACTCTATTTCTATATTTAGAGATCATCAGCACCTCATGAATATCAAATTGTACTGTTATTATCTCTGTACAATATGGGCCAGTCTCCTCTCAGTGTAAACATTTATAACAGTGATTATCGGTAGGACTGCAAGAGGTCCCAAAATAGACAAGGCTGAACAGAAGTCTGCCATTATTTGTTTACTGGGAAGGCAGGGGGAGAGCAGAAGAGTCGGCTGAAGGTCTCATAGCACAGAGCCCATCTACCACTGGGGTGGGAAGGCTGGTGCACAGGGATCTCTAGCTGGTGGGACCATTAGGGGCAAGGGTGGAGAGCCCTCTGAGCCTAAGCAGCATCTTAAATCCTTGGCATAGACATCCTGCCCCACAAGCAAATTCCTTTGTATGCTTCCTTAGGGTTTGTTTTTAGTCTCTTCCCTTGTCTGTGAGAAGCTGATATTTAAAGCTCTAGTCTGACTGGTTTGGCAAATCATAGAAACTTTATTTCCAAATTATGGATTCAACTAATTTTACTGTCAGCATTAGCTGGCAAAGGGGAAACGGTTGATGTCCCTTCTGTGCCAGAAAACGGTGGCATCTGAAGGCGTTTGGCCACCCCTCACGGCAGTGCCTGCTGTTGGCTTGAAATGAAACTGTGCTCTGCGCTCAGGCAAATGGCAGGATGCACAGACGGGAGGGCAGTGGAAGACTGCTGAGCATGGGAGAATGCCAATGGGTTTCTGCTCTCGTTTGAGGGCTTTTTTTTTTGTTTTGATGGATGTGCTGCATTGCACTGAGAAGGGCTAAACTAAACCTCTGTCAAGCAGCTGAAGCTCAGTGAATCCGGCTGCCTCCTAAGAGACCTTTTCTACCTTCTGGATCTTCAGCTGAGGAGCTTCCCAGGGGACGCTCACTCCCCATCACCATCTTTCAGAGCTGTCAGGATGCTTCAGCAGCTCAGCTCTTGGCATGGCTTTCCAACCTGCCCTAATGTGGCCCTGGTCACATATACTGTTTTCCATCCAGATGGATACCTCCCTACCACAAAGGATTATTGTCATTAATAATGGCAATGCTTAATCAAGTTACTTGTTTCTTTCCCTTACTTTTCCCTGCAATTATTGCTCTGGAGTGTTTACTTGGTAGCTCTGTTCCCACCTGGGCATGGCTAGGCAGAGCCACCTCCTGGCAGGATGCTAAGCACCCAGTACTTACCCTTGCACAAATATTTGCCCGCTATCAGCAGTGTGTCCCCAGTCTGCAGGCTGGGAGGACAGGGTTACATCTCAGTACCCAGCTTTTTCCACCCAAAAGGGTATATCTATGCTTCATAATAACTGTTATGTATATAAAGTGGGGGTGCCAAAGTCCAGGTAAATGAAAATAGTGGCTGGTTCATTACTAGACCATACAACTCAGGGGTGGGCAGGTGAGCTGCTTGGACACAGGGATGATGGTTCTGAGGGACACCAGGAAAATGGTAAAGCGTTATGAGCACAGTTGATGCTGTGAAATTGCAGGTCCTGTGTTTTACTCCAAGACACTGGCACATGCACACCCAAACCCACCCTTTAGTTTCCAGCTCAAAACATTTCAGTAACACCGAAACCGGGCCTCAGCATCATATTTTCTGCTTCAGATAGAAAAAAGCTAGTAAACAAAGCTGGCTTCTTATCAATTCCTCATCCATGAAAGTGCTGTAATACACCCACCCAACAGTTTCTGTCCTAGCTAATTTCTAGAATCAGCTTTCTTTTCAGAGAAACCTCTGCCAGAAGAGGACATGACTAAGCAAGAGGAAGCTCAACTACAGAAAAATGTGAGTGAAATAGAAAATAATCACTGAGTAAACTAGTGCTTGTCTGTTCAGTGGGAAACAGATTCTAGATCATTCCCTGCAGCTTTGAGACTCTGCTGGCTTTAGCACAGCTGGACTGGAGAGGCAAACAATGCACAAACCAGGAGTTAAGGGCTCCAGGGCCTGTGCATGGCACCTAGCTCTCATCTCTTGCACAAGGGGATGTGTCTTTCTGACAACAGAGCTCTTGTACACGTGTTTATGCTGTGAGAAAGCTGTCTATGTTTGGTTTGGAAAAGCTACGCTTGCTTAACAAAACCTGAATTTATCCCTGTAATCCTTCCCTGCATCTCCGTGGCCAGATTGGAGCAGCCTGTGGAAAAAATTCCTGTCTATTTTCAGAAATAGATAAAAGCATTCAGATTACAGAGTGCAAATCTCAGCTCGAAATGGCTGGAAAAATCCATTCAGCGCCACTGTCACTGACCCCAGCGACCTCTCCATGTAATGAATTTCAGTCGCCTCTGCCTCCTTCTCCTGCCGCTGCCGGAACTGCCTGCATCTGCAGAATGTCAGCCTGTGTCCTGCTGTTTATCCCATGGGGAGCTGGAAGGGAGGTGTTATGTAAAAGAGTGGAGTTTGTGGAAATTGTTATTGATCTCGCTGCTTGAGACCATTGTGGGATCTTTTTAGGCTGGTGCTCATTCCGGCAGAGCGCTGGTGCACCAAGGATGAAGGGCTTTTTGCCACAGAAATGAAATGCCAGGAATTTGCCTCATTGCCCGCAGCCACCTCGGGACTCTACTCACTGCTATGCCTGGAGATGGGTACTCTGTTGTGCTCTCCACTGCTGGGAGATCCCAAAGCAAATGAGCCTTTAGCATCATTTATTAGTTCATGAGAGTGAAGATTCGATGGAGGAGATTACTGCTCATTTAGAGGGATTGTGTGCTTTAGGTAGCCCCTAAGGCTTGATGAATTCCTGCTCATGGTGGATTAGATGCCCTGTTAGCAAGCAAAATATTAAACACAACTGCAGCAAGTTTACATATCACTCATATTTTGCTTATGGATTACAGGACTAGTCTTTGTAATTAATCCCAAGGAAGAATGCATCCAGATGGACTGCAGCTTTTGAAAGATTAACATTAATGGGATTTCTTTTTTTCATTTAAAACTCTGTTTTTCTCTCTGTGATGTTCAGAGCAGACCTGAGATGCTGATAACTTTGTGCCCAGCTCATCAAAGTGTCTTAACAGCAATCCTGTGGTCCTCCCTTGGGGTTCACCCATCTGATGATCACTGCGTTTGTGTCTCCTTTCACAAAACTGGGCTGAATCCTGGGAGGTTCTGAGCAACCTAATTTAGACTTGAGGGTGGTTCAGATGTCTTTCCTTCTGTTGCAGGATGATGAGCAGGATATGAAAATCTAAAGGAGTTCTGTGTGACAAAATGAGATGTTGGAGAGATCATGTGCTATGATGAGTACATGGCTCAGGATGATAACATTTCTGGGTGCTGCTCTCAGCCCTGCTAACCAGCAAGGAATGAGCTCACTTCACTAGGAAACTTATAAATATACCTACTTTGCAACAGTGATGAGAGGCTTAATTTTCATGTATCTAGTGTGGATAGAGAAAAACATAGAACTGAGCACACTGCTAGTGAAATAAGTGAACAGGGACAGAGTACATGACTAAACCAGTGGGGTATTTGGTTCTTAAGTTACTTGAAAATACTTCAAGATTTTTGATTTAAATACTTCAGCAAGGCATCAAGCATGATATAAGCATGAATTATGTATCTATTTTTTGCGTATATTCAGAGCTGGGTTTATACCTGTGTACATACCTGCGCGTGTGTACTTACATGTGTGTGGTTTGATTATACAAACACAGCTCAGCTGAACATAGAAGTGAAGGAAAGGGGGATCTGTGTGTGTGTGTGTATATATACATACACATATATTGAGTGTGTGTGTGTATATATACATACACATATATACACATATATTGAGTGTAAGTGCCAAAATACACTGGAAAACACAACACATGTATTATACTCTGCCTACAAGTCTAATGTTACGATCAGAATGCGTTTCATCCCACTGCCTCATTTTTAAGGCCTAGAGAAATACTCATAGTAGCCAAAATAATCTGACTCTTGAGCTCATTTCAGTATTTTCCATGTTTTCCAACCAGCTGTCAGATGAAACCTCCAGCATTTGTAAATGGTTGTTGAAACTTTAAAAAATGCTAGAATCTCACCATTTAAAAACATGCAAAAGTGCTCTTCTTTTAAGGTATTGCAAGCATTTTTCATCATCTTTAACAAAGCTTATATTGTTATTGAATATAGTATACCTGAAGCAAAGGGTATAACTTCAGTACTTCAGATAATGGTGCACCAACAGGGATACCACAGGAAAGACCACTATTGCCTATAAAGGTTAATTAATTTAAATCTCCTTTAAGTAGTCATGAAGGGATACGTATTGATTCAAGGTTCCTGGATCCACATATGCAGAATACAGTCTGAATACATAAACCTAAAATGTATCTATATATGAAAATGAAGCTGTTCATTAGTAAACGGAACCAAATTGCAGGTTGTAACAAATTTACTTTAAATATCAGAAGATTTGGAGGTGTTCCCATTGCGATTGTGAGCCTGAGAACTATAATAATGCATTCCTCAAGTAAAAAGCTGACCTGTTCAGCGAAAACGTGGAAACCCAGAAAAAGATTCAACTCTGACCCATTTGGAAGATACAATAAGCCTGTGATATCCTGTTTGCTCACCAGGGAGTCATACTTATCATTGAATTGCTACAGCTAGCCAGAATACAGGTAGTTATATATTCTGTATGATCCAAGTCCGTAAAACTGTTCTCATCTGTTGACTTCAGCAGAGATGAATGAAAGAAATTAAAGGACTGCTGTGATCCAGGCTCTTCCTGCCATGTGTAATGAGCCCAGGAATATCTGTGTACATCATTCCTGTCCATTCCAGGAGTTCCCAGGGCGTTGTGCAAACCCTACGGCAGAGACATCACCATAACTACAGCTGCCAAGTCACCCCACCGTCTGGGGCCAACTGGTGGCTGCTCAGCAGGGAACGGCTACATGGTACAGGTAAGTTGTATCCATTTGGTTGGGGACCCTCTGGTAAAAGAGGGGGGAGGAATAGGAAAAAAAAAAGAGAAAAGAACAGAACTAAGATGAAACATTTCAGGACGGATGGGGAAGATGAGTCCTGTTCCTCACTGAAACTGTCCAGACTCTCTTACCTCTGTCCACGTCGCATGATGTGTTTGGACAGCTAGGTGAATGGCTGGATGTGTTATCCAAACACTGAGTAATGCTTGTCACTGCTCTGCTGTGACACTGACCAGTCAACACGGCTTCCCCTGGGCATCAGCCACATGTGATGGAGGCAGAGAAGAGTGAATCTGCCTGAATAATGCCCACGGACAATTCATGTTGCCTCTTTGCTGCTGTTTGGACTATCTCTGTCTTTTCCATGTAGTCTTCTTCTTCGGTCCTTACTCCTGCCTGTTGCTTCTTGCTCTGGACTCAAGGCCATGAGGTGTTTTAATGGGCGATTCCACAGTAGGAGAAACCAGCTCCCTTTTCTTCTGGAAAAGGTAGGTTTAAAGGGCCTCCTCAAAAGGTTTCTCTTAGGTTTTCTGATTATGTTTCTAGGTTCAGGATGGGCAAAAAGTATAAATTAGGCAAAAGGCTGTAATATGCAAAACCTGGAAAACATCCAAACCTCCCACACTTAGCATTTTCCACATACACCTTCCCCCAAAACTCCACAGCTTCATCGCTAAGATTAATGCTTAGTTTCAAACTTAGTTGTATGTGGCAAAGAATCCAGCCTAAAGCTAACTGAATTAGTACCCAGCCCTTGTGTAATTCAGTAATCTCCACACATGCCCAGTAAGGCAGAATGGAGGGGGAGAGCAATAGGTTTTGTAATTGAAATGCTGTCTGTCTCCTAAGGCTGACTAAATGAGTTAAATTTTCTAGGCCTTTCAGATTGAAGATTAGCATTTACATCTTCAGCCCCAAATTATTTATAAGCAGTTGCAGATGATGGCGCACATGTAGAAATACCTCATGGTAAATACTGCCTTGGGCACAGACTAGTCAGCATGGAGCAGCAGCTTCCATATAGTTTGGAGTTACAGTACTGGACAGAGCAGGTTACAACAACCCAACAGACAGGAGAGGTGAGCTTCTTGCCTCTGAACTGGAATGATGCAACCTCCCAGTCAAGCACAACTGATCAGATAGAACAGTTCTGGAAAACACATTTATTCCTTTCCAGCCTTAAGGACCCTTGTGCTCAGGACATACTGATGCGGACACCTGACTTGTATGGCAGTGTCTTGAAGAAAGCAGCATAACAGTTACACAGGAAAGTGGTCTGTCCCTTGCATACCTGGGCTGCTTTAACAACATGCCATAAAGGTGTCTGGAATAGTGCTTCTTTCTCAACCTCTGCCTGTAAGTTCTACCAGGAGGCAAGAGTGCGATAAGAGTAAGCGCAGTGCAAGAGGGTAGACCACACTCCAACACCAGTTTGGGTGTTTGGACATGGGTTGATGGCACTCTGTTGCTTAAAGTCCTGCCTTGCAGCTCCATACTACATGGCTGATTCATTCAAAGGGTAGTATGGAGCATCACCGGGTCTTTGGGTGATTGTGCAGGAAAGCTGAGGGCTCTTCTATCCATAGTACCGGCAGCAAAGCTGGGGTCCTCCATTGCTGCCTTGGCTAGGACTGGTCACTGATCCTGACCCCAGGTGGGGTGCTGGAGCCACAGGGCTCTCCCTGTGGGACTCTTTTCACTAGAGGGAAGTGGACCCCTGCCAGCAGGTCTGAAAAGAGGGGTCTTTTGCTCATTATCTGGATGTATATTGCCATTGCTGGTTTTGCTTGTCTTTATGACTGTGCTCCCTCTTGCCTAATAAAGATCCAGGAATGCAAGTGAGTGGTGGAAATCCATCTCTTTAAGAGCTCTTGGGGAGGATATTTTAGTTTTCTCAGGTTTCTAAGTGGAGATTGGAATTTAGTCCTTTATCAAGAGGGGCCACGGGTATATTAAATCCAGACGTTTTCCTCCGCTGTTAACCACCTGGCAGAAAGGTTACACTAATTACATCAGATGTATTTTTCTCAGATTTTCCTGCTTCTATTATGAGCATGAGGCTTATGTCAGAGGAACCAGTCTGACAGCTGAGAAATGCAACCTCTCTTATCCATGTCTCACTTCCCACATTGGCCAAGTGACAGACCCTCATGGAAGGCAAGGTGTGGACATAGAAATGGGCTGGTCAAGGGAGATGAGCACAGAGCCCCAGGTCCATATGCACGTGGCAATGAGTTGGCAGGCACTGCTCCAGCAGTGTGCAAGACTATGTGGCTTGGACTTTGGCTTAGTAGGAGCAATGAAAGTAATCTTTATGCTGTGCAAATGGCTCTCCACCTTCCTCCTAATGCCCAGCAGACATTTTTAGGGCTTGCCATTGTGAGAATGATGGGAATGGTGAAGTAGATGTTGGCTTGGTCCAGAGTGGGAGGAAGAGAAATGAACAAGAGCTGGGAAAGGCTATGTTTATGATACTGAAGATGAGCCTTCATATCCTCCAACAAATCTGTGCCCCTCTACCAAATACCACACTGTGGCTAGCCATCATCTCAAGCCCTGCAGTATGACTCATGGGAACTGGGGTACTTGGCCTTTTATTAGTTGTGTAGTATTCAGTATTTTTTCTCTAAGGGTGCAGCATATCTTGGACATGTTAAGCTGTGGGCCAGGCTTTGGTGGAAACTTACAGTGCTTGGATTTTCCTGGAAAGCAGCATTAATTCTTATCTCCATCCAAAACCAGATTGCCCAGAAGTGAGAGTGGCAAAGCCAGGTTTTGGTAGGAAAGAAAACCATCGTCATGCTTGAAAGAGAGAAGCACAGTAAAAGCTCACTATTGAAAAGGGAGAAAAGTAAAACATGATTTAACCTTGTTCTTTCAAGATGAGACTCAGGCATAAAACCACATTGTGGGTTAAAACCTTTACATTTAAAGATAGGTCTTCAGACACGCTCCCACCAGATGCTTCGATAGATTGGAAATGAGCACCAGGGAAGAAATATGGTATTTTCTTTACATGATGCAACAAGATGTTGTATTTCCTGGCCACATGTAAAACGAATTTACAACGGAAACATGCCAGAAATGCCTGAGGGTAATGCTAGCCATAGCAGAACACTGAGTCTTTCTTTTTTTTCTCCAGCTTTTAATAATGGGACTGAATGTCATTTTTTAAAACAACCCCAGGATGAGTGGCCGGAGAAGGGAGATCAAGGGTCCATATTTCATAAGGTACATCAGGAAAAGGTTATCGTGTAATCCGATCTCATATGCACATATGTCCTCTGCCACACATGCTAAGATAACTCTCGAGGTTATTTGTTGCAACAGACCCCTATGGTGATGACAATTTGAAATTAATGTTATTACTGTGAATAATTGCATCGTTTTCTCTGATCCTAGTTATTCTTCTTTTCTGCTAATACATGCATGTCAATGCTAATTGCTGCAGTGACTGTAAACATTTCACATGGTTTGCAGTGGGTAGGTTTAACATCCTCCAAGCAAAGGGGAAAAATACACTTGGACTCTTTTTTGCCTTGAAACTATGCAACTGGTTTGCAAAATATTTAAGCATGGGGCTATCTGATCTCCGTTAAGGTCATTGTAACCTATAAAAACACTCCCACTGATTTCATTAGGCTTGATGTTACACTGAAAGGACCAGAGCAGTCAGAGCTGCCTGTTAGTACAAAGAATAGAGAAGAGGGATAACCAATCTTGCAATGCATGTACAATAGTAAATTGACCTGCACCGAGTCCTGCATGTCTCAGAGGGCTGAATGTCAGTGCTGAGCAGTAGGTGATGAAAATCAATATGGCGAGAAGAGTGGATTCAGGTGCTGATTGCAATAGTGCAAAACCTCCCTTTCAGCATAAGCAATGCCTTACACTTTATTCAAGGAACAGGAGAAAACACCACTGAGGAGTAAGTTGAGAGACCTGGAAGATCTTAATGCCATAGTTAGGGCTTTTTGCCTTAGTGTCAGCTCCTCCACACTGATGCACATATGCTTTCCTAACCACAATGCTATCCGAAGCCCCCATCTTGGTTAACATTTCATCATTCACACTCCGGGAATTATCATTTCCTCTAGACATGCTGACAAAGCTCATTGTTTATTGCTCACAGCATGTCAGAACTGCTGGTTTTGCTTTGGACTGCAAGATGTTTGGAAAGCCACATGCTTTTTCTGAAGCCGGTTCCATCCCCTCTGTGCCAGCCTCAGCTGCTGTGTTTGCTTACGCCCAGAATGCCGGATCTTGTCCACGATGAGAAAGAGCAGAGGAGAATGTCAGCTCAAGACTGACCAAACAGCACTGGATTTCATGTAATCATGGCCAAATTCTTCCTGGCAGTCACTTGTACAGCCTTCCCAAACCAATGGGTAAGCCCATGGATAAGAGTGAGCCAGGGAGGGTGTGCTGGAGATGCTCATCATGCTGTTCCCCACACCCAGGGGAGATTACAGCTCTTCCTGGCAGCAGTATTGCCCATGGATGGATTATAACGGGGGAGGAGACCATGCACCACCCCTTCTGGAAAAGGAAGTGATCTTCAGCAATGGCTCTGTGCTCTAGGTCTCCCTGTCCAGAAATGGGGGCAATATCTGGCTGCTCACTGACCTATTACAACACTGCAGTCACGAACGGTTGCTAAATGTTGCAGTTGGAGAAATGCAGATCATTATTTATTAGGTACTGCAGTTCATATGACAGGACATACACAGTCCTATGGATGGTTACATCTGGCTGCACATTTAAGCCCTCATTTCAGTACAGCAGGAGCGAGAGCCGAGTTTTTGATGGAGGCTCCATTTCTGTCTTACAGGGGAAGTCTTGAACCACATAATCTGATCTCCCCAGCTAAAACTTCTCCTGGACAACCTGTCCTGCTCAAAGCAGTTCTGCAGGCAGGAGAGAGGATGCATGGCAGAGGAGCTGCCCCGGGTTCCTTTACATGAACTGAAGCCACCCAAATGCAGGCAGGGAGGGCAAGTGGGCAGACATATGTGATGAGTGGAGGCAGAGTAGCTGGAATGGACCAAGCTATAAGTCCAGCACAGCACCGGCCAGGGGCTGACCTCAGTACATAACGGTTTATGGCCAGAGGTGAGTGGGGTGATGGCAGCACTCCTTGTTACATGGGGCAGATGTGCTCAAAGGCACAGGGCGCATCCTTCAACAGGATGTAGGTCTCTCTGCATGCAGTGATTGCTCCCAAGGTTGGGTTGCTTCCCCCATGGTAACCCCAAAGGGACTATTCCAGGCCAGGAAGATAGGAAGGAGAGGTGGTCGGTTTGTTACCACTGGGAAATCAGAGTGTTTCAAATAGTTTTTGGGAAGGCAGAAAACTCCTGAGGGTCACTGGCACTGATGACAAACAGCAGCTTGACCATGAGCCCATGGGCAGGTATGTGTTACTGGGAGTGCTGTCTTTCCTCGCTCCCCACCAGCACCTCACTCTGCCTCGCTTTGCTGTGTTGGCCTGACAAGCTTCTGCAGATGTGACCCGTCTCTTGGAGCTTGTTATCCCACATTTTATTTGCATCACACTGGGTCTGCCCAGGTGATTAAACAAAAGGCATCTTTTTATTATTGTTGTTGTTTTTACTATGCAATTGCTATGTCCTTTATTAGGGCTTTGCTTTTCCTGTGAGGAATAATCCATGGAAACTTGGACAGGATCCTTTGGCTCACACTAGAAAAGGTAATAAAATCCTGGGAACCCAAAATGCTTCCCTGTTGTTTTCACCAAACATCTCTTCCCATCTTGAAAAATGTGTTTCTCTGTTCTCATTTGTTTCCTAATTTAAGGAAAATTTCTTCCTAACCTGCCAGCTTTCCTCCTGTCCAGCAGACCAGGGCATTTGAGAGGCTGTAACCACATGCTCAGAGGGCTCACAGGCCTTAATTCCATTCCCCACCACACACTTCTGACTCTCCCCACAGTTACAAGGAATTCACTTATTTTCTCATTGCTCTGGGTTCTTGGTCTGCCACCTTATCATATAATATTTAGTTACTTTTTCAAAGCATTTTAAATCTCCATAGGAATGCATTATAAAAGTGCATTAGTATTATTACTATTCTCCATTGTGTAACTTTGAGAAATAGCTTATATAAGGCTGGCTCCTCTATCCCGTCTCTCCAACCCCCATCCATTGTCCCAGTGCTGCTGCTTTTTCCTTCCATGACAGCAATAATTAAGCTCTGGTTTCCCAGTACCTCCCTAAGGCTCCTACCCAGACCTTGGGGAATAATCATCCAGTCCTCTCTACATGAGTCCAGAGACTGGGAACTTTGGATTCAAAGATCCTGCTGCTTCTCTCTGCACCTCTGTCAAACATGCCTGCATTAAAGTCCTATTCTATGTTTTCAGAGGCTCCAGAGTTACTTGTATGATCTCAAAGCCCTTTTTTCTGGCATCTCTAAAGTACCCCATCAACAACAAAATCAGGTATTTCCTTACAACTATGACTTGAGTTGTACTGGAGGACATTTGTAACCTTTTCCCCCCGCACTCTCTCAGACTTTCACAAGCCAAGTATAGTAGGACCAGAAGAACAGTCAGCCAGTAACCTGAAGTAGAATGTATTCAGATAGTATGGTGGGAAGACTGAAGCTCCCCATGAGAATGGCATAGCTGAATGCTAATGTGCTACCGACCGTGACCTGCTTTCTCTGCCACAGCATTATTCTTTTTAGTAGGCATTTTGGTTTTGTTCCTTTCATTTTCTGTCATGCCAAAGCACCTATTTTCAGTGAGATAAAAGGTTTGTCAAAACAGTAGGTACTTGAACTAACAACACCGTGTAGGGGTTTTTGCTAAACAGGATGGTGACAGGAATCCAAAGGCTGCAAACTAGTGACACTCCTCCATGCTCTTTCTCCTCTTTCTTTTCCTCCTTTCCTGAAGGATATTGGTCCACATCCTTACCACTTTATGTGAAACAGCTGCCAGGTTTCATGCCAGAGATGACTGCATTTCAGAGACAAGCAAATGTACTGCTGTATTGCTGCCAGTTACTGATCTCATGTACATTAGCTTTGGTTTTCCAAATGGCTCCGTTGGACTTCAGTGATGCAGTTCCAGCCTGACCCCAGTGGAAAAGAGATCTGAGCCCATTCCGCTATTTTTTGGCATTCAAAAAATGTAAAGTATGTCTTTTATAACAATGTACCCGTACATTCTGCCATCCTGTTAAGTCCTGCCTCAAGCAGGCATTCTCTCTCTCTCGTAGCCAATTATTTAGACAAGAACTGGTGACTAATAGGAGCAATTTGTAGGTAACATGCTGTTCTCAAGTGACCAACAGCAAATTGGTAATGACTGGCATTAGAATGACCATTCTCCGAAGAGGAATAGTTGAAAGCCCACTGTGCACAGCACTGATCACATTTAACAGCAAAACAACCCTCCCTCACACTGGCACCTGCCATTTTTCCTGGCGACTCCTTTCGCTGGTACATCTGCAAGGGCAATTACACTGAAATGCAGCAACCACGTATTTGCTTACACAAACATGAGATGTGATTTAAAACACTTCGGTAATGTGACCTTCTAAACTTGATGGACAAAATATTAAAGCCCCAAATGCACTATAGGGAGCAATTCTGGGCTGCTCAGGAGGCGGATCATAAGGCTTAATAGATCGTTTCCATCTCTGAAATTTCTGAGTTGCGATGAATGGAATTTCTGAGTATTTGAAACAGGAGGAGTATTTGAAAAAGGCTGGAGAGGACTGCAGTGTAAAATCTTTGCACTATAAAAAAGGCAGCCTTGGCTTTTATTGCCCCTGTGGGGAGTCTCCTGTGAACCAAACAGCAACTAAATCAAATAAACATTTGTGAATTAAATCCATCTTCTCTTTAGCTTTGGGGAGCTAAAAACCCCCAGTAATTTATTGAATTGCCTTTCATAGTTATACCTGCAGTTGCCTTTTGAATTTGATAGCAAAAACATTTAAACTCATAGTGTTTCCCAAATCAGCTAAATCCATTATATCACCTGTGCCAGTTACTATATTTGTAGGGCAGTAAACAGTGGCCTTTATTGTTTGCTGTTCATGGGGCTGTGCATAAGAACGAGCTTAGTCTGTCTCCAGAGATATACACCTACCTTACTGGCACCAGAAATATTATACCAGCTTAAATCAGTGCAAGCATTCCATGCTGTCACTGCCTCCCCTGTTTTGATATAATCTCTTCTCACTGCTGTGCTGATACTCTTTGAGTCAAGGTCCCTTCTCTACTTCTGCTGTTTAAGAAAAGTAATTTAAAAAGCGCAGCTTAGGCATGTTATGAACAGTTAGCGAATTTCCACACCTAGGAAGGTATGTGGGCTCAGATATCTGCTTTTCTTTGCAAGCAGATGGAGAGGTGAAAATCCTTATGTGGGCTTGTCATATCCTTATCTCAAACCCACCAGAAAAGTACAAAAGTGAAGGTGAGAAGGTGAATGATCCAGACATCAAGTAACTCAGCTCTTCTCACAGGCAGTGAAATTTGCTTAGAAAACCCAGGAGAGAAGAAAAATCTAGGTAGATACAGAGCACTGCAGTTTCAGCAAATGAGATACATGAGGTGTGTTAGGGCAGAGCATGGGATTAGGGCAGAGCCAGCCTAAAGGGTTTTAGGAGAAAACACTGTAGAAGCTCTGATGAAGGTATGTGCACTGCTCTCGGGGGTGGAGGTCTATGGGGAAAGCATCAACAGCTCCTACCTCTTGCATTTATTATGATCCCTTCTCATCTTTACTTCACACAGTCCTCTTCTTTCCACTCTTTCAGTAACATCTCTGGGGTTAATTCTTCAATTGTTTACAAGTCATAGGACCATTAGGAAATCATTTAACATGTTCTGATGTGATTTAGGAGGTGGAAGTAGCCATGTGAACAGCAGGCTCTTGGCAGACCCGTAGTAGCTTACGGGTCACAATTTGAAAACCTTTTGATGCAAGCGCAGCCCAGGCCATTTAGCAACGAGAGTCTCCTCATTCAAGTGACTGAGGCTTTTGCTAGGAACAGGAGAACATGAGTTTTCTTTCTGCTGTTTTTTGGCAGCTCTAGGGAGGCGTGACTGGCTGCTTAAAGATATTTTCCATATTGCTTATCTTTTCTCTCCTTCTGAGTGCCACATGGTCTGTCATTTCACTCAGCTCAGATATAGGCCCCAGGGGGACTTAGTCTATGAGTAAAACACAGAATTAAGCAACAGTGGTTAAAACTAAAAAGTTTTAGGCATACTGCTGTAGTTAATGACACATTGATTTCAAGTGCTTTCCCCTCCTCTCTGTCTCCCCTCTGTTATGAGCTCCAAAATGCCGCTTGTCATCCAGGTGAGCTATGCCAACAGAGGATGGATGGAAGGGTTCCACTGCACAGCATATCACTAAAAACATTTTGTAAAGCCTACCCCAGCTATAGCCAAAAAACCTCCCTTTTCCTGTTCCTACAAGATCTGTTAGTACAGCACACCAGCACGCCAGAGGAGCGAGAACTAAATTCGTGCCCCCACTGAGCAAACATTATTGTTTCTTTTGGCAGCTGGTACTCACTGGCCAACCCGCACCTCCTGCTTCTTGCTTTGCGGGGCTGTCATCTGTGGTATGGGGAGGAGACAAAATTAATGCAGTAGGGACAGAGATGAGGGATACAAGGAGCAAGTTTATTGGCAATCAGGCCTTGCTGTTTCCAGGTCTTCCCACAGGAATTGTTTTGTGGTTAAGTTAAATCTATATTGTTTCATTTCAAACATGTCCAAAGCTTGACTTCAGCTTGAAATGGCGTTATTGGTATGGAGGTAAAGCCAGTACCTTGATATTATTTCAACAAAGCCTTCTGAAATGCACATACATTTCCAGTCAGCTGGATTCTTCCTTTTTTGCTGAATAGTGAACATTCTTTTCTTCCCCTCACTGTTGTCTTTGGCTGTAGAAATTGTACTTTCCACTTTCACAAAAACTGTAGGGGCATTATGAATGCCTGTATTTTTCTTGAGCAGACCTTTTGCTTTCTAACAAGACGGTTACACTAACTCACCTCAAGCAAGTTCAGCGCTAAGTGCTGCAAAGCACAAGGTGCTTATCTACTTTGCCTGGGTAGCTGCAACTGACAGTGAAATTCTCCTTTGTATTTTCTAATAGCGTGCCATGGAGAATGGTTGAAAAGATGTCATGTTCTTCTTCAGTCGGCTGCATGTCGACGTGATAGACAAAATGATTTCTCTACAAACAGTCCAAAATTGCTTTGGGCTCCTCAAGGAAAACAAGAACACAATTACTCGTTGTTATCTGTCTTAGCAAATTGTTTTCTCCACAGTTACAAGTCAAATAGCTTAACTGGACGCTTGCATAGCCAGGTATTGGTATTGCAAGGAGAGCTGGATAGCATTTCACATTTTCTACTCAAATTACAAACTTTGATTACTATCTCCTGTCAGCAGTCTCAGCAAGAAGGAAGTGTCATTATTCGTACTACACTGACAGGGAGAGGGAAGTGATTTTTCCAGGGTCACCCTGGAAATGGCATAGGGTGGACTGCAGTAAGATTCAGGCCCATGTTTTGGTGCTCAGTGATACAGAATGCCAAAGCTCCTTACTTAACTACAAAATCTTCAAGATTTTATGAACCCATTTTAACATGGATTTCTTCCGTACAGAGATCTTCAACCTGAGACAATTAGCCACATGCATTTTTTCCTCTATCAGTTTATAAGCTAATGAATAGAACTGTGACTTCCCTGCATTGCAAATACCAGAAGCCGCACGTAGACGACTGCAGTTTCCCCTCTCTCACCTTCCTATACAACAGCAGTAGAATAATGTAGGACAGCTTTCCATTTAGCATTCCAGGGTTGTACCAGGAGGCCTGTATTGCAGATGCCATCACTACAGATGCCCTGATTCAGTTCAGACTTTTGAGGCTGCCCAGGAACTTGGCCACAAGTCAGTGGCTGACAGCCCAAGACACATGTTCCCCTCGGAGGCAGTCTGCCTGTGTTATTTCTTCCATTTTAAGGCTTAGCTACTTTAAATTCTGAGGTTTGCCTTCCTCTTCTCCTGATTTCCAGTGAGGATTCATTTTACCTGGCTTTAACTGTCTGACCAGTAAGAGCACTACCAAAGTCAGCCATTTCAGCTCCCCATGTGCTGAGCTTAGACATCCCAGCTCGGGAACACACTAGATGGGGGAACCTCGATAACCAAGTCTGACCAAATGCAGGTTTTATAGTTAGCACAGGCCAGGTAAGCTGAGCCACTGAGCAAACAGCCTCCTGACATGAGAGGCAGTAGTTGTCTTCATTGCTTCAGCTAAGTAATTTTGAAGGCTTTAGGATGCTATTATGACTTTTACTGAAGGCCTTGTCCATACCAGTGTTGAGGTTGCACAAGGTCTTTGGACTTTGTACAAGTCTCTTCCACTGCTTGAATTCAATCCCAATATCTATTTGGGATTTCTCTTGCTGCAGCAGGGAACCAGTGCCTCTCATCTGCTTGCTGTGCCCCTCTGAGAAGAGTCTGGCTCCAGTTCTCAATAACCTCCCACCAATGGAAGACAACAGCTAAGTCCCTCCATAGCCTCTACTTCTCCAGTCTGAATGAACAAATTTAATCCCTCAAAAAGGGTTGACAATGGAGTGCCAAACACTTTTTTATGACTTTCAGGGTGAGATTCCCTGAGTGCTAATTCCCTATTTTAAAATTTATTTATTTATTTAGCATTTCAAGTATTGACAAAACTGATGAATGATTCTCAGCTCTGGCAAGGTACTTATTAAGGCAATGAATTCTCCCTGGATGATGGTAGGTGCTTCAGAAGAGCTGATGCTGTCCTCAAAACTAACTGCAGTGGAAAAGCGGGATCCCACCAGGGACAAATATCCCTAAATGGGTGTGGGATCAGGCTCTGCCCTGATGTTTGTATTTCGCAGGACACGTTCGTCTGTGCATGTTAAATGCTCGTGGGGTCAGAAAGAACCTGGGTCGCTTTGGTCCTAATCCGGCAGCTTTGGGCAGCAGGGCATGGGCTCACCTTGCTTTTGCGCACACATAAAACTTCACTTAAAACCTCCTGGCGTTTTCCTTCTTGGAACCCCAGGGCAGCGGCATGTTCCTTCTGCTGCCCCCATGGCTCCTCCGAGCACCGGGGGCTGTTACCCAGCGCGGGTGCGGGCATGGAAGGAGGGGGTGTAGGGGTGCATCGGGTGGCTGCTGGCCCTTTAAGAGAGGCCGGGGCAAGGAGCGGTGCCATGGCAACGGCTTGACAGCCGTGACCGGAAGTGATTGGCGGGTTAGAGGTCGCCGGTGGCAGCGGGAACATGGCGGCTGCCCTGGCGGCGCTGGGTGCTGGCGACGGCGCGGCCGCGCTCCCCCGGGCGGCCGCTCCTTGAGCGGGGCGGGGGCCGAGCCGAGCCGAGCTTCTTCCCGCCGCGGTGCTGCCCCGTGTGAGGTGAGAGCGGGCGGGCTCGGGAGCTCCGTGGCAGGCGGCAGGCCGGGACCATGGCCCTTCGCCGCTGGCCCGGCCTTGCCGGTTTGTTCTGGCCTCTCTCACCCGCCGCCCGTCTCTCCGCAGGCATGGTCGGCGCGCTGTAGCAGGGCTGGGAGCCGCGGCGATGCCAGAGGAGGAGCCGCGGGAGGAGAGCGCTTGAGCCGGCCTGAGGATACGTTCAGTGTGTGTGAAACGTGTATGTTACCGACAGCGGGGGTTTGGTGCTGCTGCTTCTGTTGCACCTAGAGCAACGAACGGAGGCTTGTTCTCATCTCATCTTTAGTATCGCTGCATTTGGGAAGAGTAGCGCCTCTCGTTCTGACTTGCACATACACCAAAGTCAGTTTTTGCCAGCTGTAGCAGCGTAGTTTTCCGTGTTTGCTGTGTGTATTGCCCTTCTCCCATCCGTGTTGTCGAGTAGGCTGCTTCCTCAGCTGGGGTTGCCCTCTGGCGAAGCTAAACTTTGACCCGAATGCTGTCTTGCGTAAGAAGCACAGGGTGAGTGTCAGAGCAAGGCATGTAACTGGCACAAGCAGGCTGTTTGGAGCATAACTCTGGCTGCAAAAAGCTGCAGACTGAAAAAAGAAAGCTAGAATTAAACTGTGTGTGCAGCTTCACATTTGTGCTTATGTGAATTCATTGTGATACAGGACTTGCTTGTCACTAGATTCCCTTTTCAATCTTTGGTTGTACCAGTGGATGGAGTGGACTATGCTTGCATGATGGCTAGTTTGCTTGTTGATTACTACAACTTGCCACATCTCACTCCGTAGTAGCTTGTTTTGAAGACACCACCCACTCTCTGCTTTTGGACCTTTGGACTTTTTAGTAGTAGTTACCACAGCAATATTTTAATGTTTCTCAAGCACAAACTTATTTCACTGAAACACAGATTAACAGATGGTCGCCACCAGCACCCCTCTTCTTCTTACTTTACAAATGAGGAAACTAGGATTAAAAAAAAAGGAGAAAAGCCGAAGTATGTCTTAAATTGAACACAGAAACCTGAAACAAGTTGTTGGACTTTGCAATCAGATTTTATAGTATCATCTAATATTCTGAACATGAAGCTTTTGTGGCAGCTGTAATACTTGGCTCCTCTGCAAATTAAGGTACAGTTTAACAGTGTGAATAGTCTGGTCAGTGTGCGGGCTGCAACTGAAGAGTGTGGTCTCACTCCTTCACCATGCTTATAGATGGTTATGGGTTACTGTTACTCTCTTTGTAGTGGATTAATGGTTGGATGATTTCATGGACAGTTGATCCAACAGGTTTATGGGGATGGCTCTCTGTCAGATGGAAGTTATTCCAGTGAGTGCTCTGATATGAACTGAGAGCTGTTTCTTCTTCTGCACTAATGTAAACCAGCTGTGGGTTAAGTATAATGTGAAACTGTACCTTGAGAAACCAAAACTCATTATTGGCCATTCAGAAAATCAGGGCTACGTAGAAAACTTCTGTAAAGTTTGGATTTTAAAAGGATTACAAAAAAAAAGCCAGCTGTATGTAAGGAGCATGTGGTAAGAGTGAAGGAAGTATAAGCCTATGAAGGAAGTATAAGCCTGTGAAGGAAGTATAAGCCTGTGAAGGAACCTTCCCATCTTTCCAGAGTATTTTTTCCATTCACTTCATGCCACAGAGCTTCTGTGCTGAAAAATGGAAGTCTCCCAAAGCCTTGTTTAGACTTCAGGGGTTGGTCCACCATGTGTACTCAGTGAGGCAGGAATCTTGAAAGGAAAATAATACTGTATTACAGTAGTATACCTTACTGTAAAAACCTACAATAGGATACCTTACTGTAAATACTGTGTCATTGCCACATTCACCTGGGGTTTTAGCAGTGTTGGGCTACTTGATCCAGCAGATCTTTTCTGCAGTTGCTCAGGTGGCAGCTTGTCATGGTTCATCTATTCTTGCAGAGTCTCTACTTCTTCAGCAGCTATTTTTAATAATGCCAGGCTAGATTCTTAATCACCTGAACTGTCTCAGGTGCAAATCCTCTTGTGCTTCTACTCGCTTTGTATTTGATTCTATACAGAACTTCTTACTGTAGAGTTTCTGTCTCTTAATTTTTGTTTAGATAGTCTCATTTATGTCCCTTCTTACCTGTCACTTGTCTTGTCCTTCCATGTGCTGCTGCCCAACATGCCCCCCATCTCTGCTTTGCTAAAGCACACCTTTTCCTTTTCTCGGCTGCTTCTTCCACCTTCTTGGGACATGCAGAGTCTTTGTGTCAGTTTATGCTTTTCTTATACCAGGTCATCACTTACAAACTATCTCTATTTTCCTCTGTCCTCCTTTCCTTATTTCATTCTCCTGTTCTCCACTTACTCTTGTTCAAGGCTCTCCTTCTTCCATCAGGTTGTGATGCTGAGAACACACAAACAAGATTCCTCATGTTCTGTATGTGATACTCAGTTCCATAATCTGGTTTAATATTTTATTAGTTAGGGACTGAGGAGAGCTGGCTTGTTTGTGTTGCATGTGTGTTGTTTAGTCAGATAAGACCTGGGAGGGGGAATCTAAGAGAGGGGAAAAATAGAACTTTTATTAGAGTTGACTTTTTGTAACAGGTCCATGCAGAGTGTGGGCAAAGGCTTGAAGTTTGTTTTTATGTGACATTTATTGATCTGACTGAAAAGTAAGTTGCTGCTGAAAGACAATTCTGCATTATCATAGAATCTCACAGAATGGTTTGGGTTGGAAGGGACCTTAAAGCTCATCCAGTTCCAACCCCCTGCCACAGGCAGGGACACCTTCCACTAGACCAGGTTGTTTCAAGCCCTGTGCAACCTGGCCTTGAACACTGCCAGGGATGGGGCAGCCACAGCTTCTCTGGGCAGCCTGTGCCAGGACCTCAGCACCCTCACAGGAGAGAACTTCTTCCTAGTGTCTAATCTAAATATCCCCTCTGTCAGTTTAAAACCATTCCCCTGTGTCCTGTCCCTGTCTGCAGTTGTCAAAAGCCCCTCTCCAGATTTCTTGTCATCTTTAGGCACTGGAAGCTGCTCTAAGGTCTCGTCTGAGCTCTCTTTTCTCCAAGCTGAACAACCCGAACTCTCTCAGCTTCTTCACAGGAGAGGTACTCCAGCCCTTGGAGCATCTCTATGGCCCCTTCTCTGGACTTGTTCCAACAAGTCCATGTCTCTTTTGTGTTGGGGGCTCCAGAGCTGGGTGCAGTTATAAAGTCCATTGTTGCTGCTGCAGGC